ATTCTATTCTATTCTATTCTATTCTATTCTATTCTATTCTATTCTATTCTATTCTATTCTATTCTATGTCTTTACTTTCTTTGTAGCCTCCTATTCATGTGAAAAGTGTTACGATAACCCTTCTCAGCTTCCTCTTAACAAGGCCAATACATGGAATTCCTAAATTCCATTGCAAATTCTATGTTCATCTTCACTGCTGTTTTCTGAACTTGTTCCAATTTTTTAGAAAGCTTTTTAATATAGTGCCAGAACTGAATGCACTACATGAGAGAGGCTCTGATCTATCTGCCTCTGTTGATCTAGCTTAAAATTGGATTGCTTTGTTTTGCAGCCAGATGACATAGCTAATTTAAATTCATATTTGTATTTATATTTATATTTCAACTACTGTTCCAAGATCTTTTTCACAAGTATTTCTTGCTTCAGCAGATCTTTTTCACAAGTATTTCTTGCTTCAGCAGGGGATTGTACTAACTAGAATTTTGCCAAGGTCCCTTCCAACTCTGTTATTCTATTAGTATTGATTCAAAGCAAGAAATCCCCAGTGCATTTGACTTCTCACTCCTTAGGATATATCTTTGTTTTCAGCCTATTTATCTAACCTACAAAAATCTTGTACTTTTAGAATCAAGATCACATGAAGTGTTAATACCACTTTATAATGCCTTGGTAAGGCCACACTTGGAATACTGCATCTAGTTTTGGTCACCACGGTGTAGAAAAAATGTTGAGACTCTAGAAAGAGTGCAGAGAAGAGCAACAAAGATGATTAGGGGACTGGAGGCTAAAACATATAAAGAATAGTTGCTGGAACTGGGTATGTGTAGTCTAATGAAAAGAAGGACTAGGGGAGACATGATAGCTGTGTTCCAATATCTCAGGGGTTGTCACAAAGAAGAAGGAATCAAGCTATTCTCCAAAGCAGGGGTCTCCAACCTTGGCAACTTTAAAACTTGTGGACTGTATCTGAAACTTCTGAAAAGTAGAAGAAAACCAGTGTCTGTGTATGTGTGTATATCTTCTACAGCCATTTTTCTCAGTACCTAACATAAGGCTTTCATTCAAAAGAATGTGTTCGTGCAGGAAACAAGACTCTTGTGGCGCTTTAAAATATATCAAATTCATTATGGCACAAACTTTAAAATTAGTAATTGGAGCCGCTGCTCTTTGACCATATGCTTTCTCAAACCTACGTTGCACTTTCAATTGCTTTCAATACTGTAGACGGCTTTCGCTCTGATTGAATTAAAGCAGAACGTACTATACTACCAAACACCCTCGTCGAAAAGAACCTCTTCGTTATTCTATTCGCATTCTTATCTCTAAGGAAACGAGCGTACGACCCTGAGCGTAAGGCTTCGTTCAACGTCCATCTGTGCGTCACGGCGCGCGTCGGAAGCGAGGTAAAAGCGCATGCGCCGCCTCGTAGTTGTGTCGCAGGAATTACGTAGGGCGGGCCTTTCGGCACGTTGAGCTTTCTTGATCTAGGCGGGTGTCGGCCGGTCTTGCTTGGTGGGCCAAGGCCTAGAAGTCGGTGCGAAGCGATGTCGGGGATTACGGGAGGTGGGACGGGCTCTGCTCGGAAGCGGCTGCTGAAGGAGGAGGACATGACAAAGGTGGAATTCGAGACCAGCGAAGAGGTGGACGTCACCCCCACTTTCGACACCATGGGCCTACGGGAGGACCTGCTGCGCGGCATCTACGCCTACGGTGAGGGGTGGGGGTGGGGGGGGCTGGAGGGATGGGGCTGAGAAAGGGGAACCACGGCTTTAGTTGTGTGGCCGCACAACTTCAGAAAGCGGTTAATGGGGGACCAAAAGCTTCCCCTCTGCATCCGTTCACTCGTCTCTCATTCTAGGGTAGCTGGGCCTTAAATGTAGTCTCTACGAAATGGAGCAAGGAAGGGGTCAGGGTCAGACTTGGATCGTAAGCTTCCCTTTGGTATCTATCTGTCTACCTGATCTATTTTATCTTTCTAATCTAACTATGCAAAAAAGCACTTATGCCTCATCACAAAATCTCCAGAACGGTAAAGCCTACAAACGTTAAATTTGGCTTCTAGGTGCTCAGTAAGAAAGGATTTTTTTGAAATGACCATCAGATCATTACTATTTCTTAATACCCCTTATTTTCCTTCCCCAAAACTAAGCCTGACCACATAGTTTTATAACGAAGCATGGGTATCGAGCTAATTTGTTGATAATTTGATGGAAGCCTCCATTAGTGGCATTTCTAAATAATCCCCCAGCAATTTGCAGATGTTTGAAACTCTCTGCCTTTTCCAGCTTCAGATTCTGTCCTTGTGTTTTAAAGAAGTGTATTTGTTGAAATGAGCGAGATACAATGAGATTCGTAGTTTTAACTTTGGCGAACACATTAAAATTCTTGGTAAATTCCTAAGTGGGTTGAAGTTTTGCCATGTTACACGAATAACACATAGGGTAATCGTTCTTTTGTCAAGCACTGATATATGAACTAGAAAATGAAAGTTATCTTCCTCCAAACCTTGGGGATACAAAGTTGGAGCCTAAACAGCTATTCAGGAATGGCTAGTTTCTAGGCAGTATACTTTTTTTTTTTAAAGAAATTCTCTCACACTTAACATGGATAATAAATGTCAGTTGCAAAAAGACAGGAAAACCAGCAGAGATGATTCCTGCTGCTGTAATTGGAGGACCTAAAAATCAGGTCCTTTATTCATTCCTGTAGAATCACTAGATAAGTCGTTTATTATTCAAGAGTAGTAACAGATTTATTCAGACATATATGAATGCAGTATTATTCTTGATTCTGGCCTTACCTACCTAATATCTTCAATCCAAAATGTTACTAAAACTTATTTAAAACAAGTGGTAGGGAGCTGTTTGTTTGCTTATTTTATTTGAATTTTTTTATTGATTTTTAAAAACAAACATAAACAACACTAAAAACATAAAACATATTTTTTGAAAGCAGCTTGATCCCGGGTTACATCTTTTCGTACAGACACAAATTCAAATTCATGTTCATTTTATATTCCATTCCATATCTTGTTACCATTCTACATTTTCTTTATAGCTTCTCCCCTCTTTTAAATTTCTTAATTTTATTTTATTTATTTCATCTCAGTTCAGATCATTATACTTATATTCTTTGTCCTGTTTCCAGCTGTCTATTGTCTTTTCTCATTAAACAAAATTTCTCCTGTAATCACTGATTGGAGTATGATGCCTTTATATCTTTCCCCTAAATTTGTAACACTAATATAATACATAACTTCCATTCGGATTCTGCTTAGTACATTCTAAAATTACACACTATATTTTAAAAAGAGAAAAAATTGTAAATATATCATATAATTAAAACCACAAATCCATGTCAATTCAACTCTATTGTTAATATTAATATTCATTTAAATCTTAAACATTTTACACATTACTTTTCATATAAGTATCATACTTCTGTGGGAACACTTATAAACTTTCCATA